TGTGTGTGTGTGTGTGTGTGTGTGTGTGTGTGTGTGTGTGTGTGTGTAACAAAGTGATTCAGCGTGGCAACTGTGCAATCGGGGGGGAATGCAGGGGGAGGCTGATCCCGGGTCAGTTTCTGCTGTCAGAGCTCATTGCTTATAACCAGAGGATTGTGGAGTAGCGTCACAGCAACACAGAGGTTTTTTTTATTTTTTTAGTTTGTTTACCTTCACACTGTGGCTCTGACAACCAAATCATTACGCTTCCTTTCCTTAAACATGACAGACTAACAAGGTCATGAGTCACCCCTAACATTCTTTGAAGGAATACATTTTACTCCAACAACAAGGACACAAGTAAATAAAGTCATGTACTCTAGAGGATGTTGGGTAAAGTGGTGTGGACCTCTAGTTAAATATAATAAACCACTAAATGCTCTGAGGGAGGCGGCACAGCGGTGCAGTGGTTAGACCTGTCGCCTCTCAGCACAAAAGTCCCAGGATCACCTTCCGGTTTGGGACCTATCTGTGTGAAGTTTGCATGTTCTCTCCGTGCATGCGTGGGTTTTTCCTGCTACTCCAGTTTCCTCCCACAGACCAAAAACATGCATGTTAGGCTGATTGGTAACTAAATTGTCCCTCGGTGTGGGTGAGAGACTGAATGGTTGTTTGTCTCGTTTGTCTCCATGTGTCCCAGTGATGGACTGGAGACCTGTCCAGGTGTTCCCCATTTCTCACACAGCTGGAGATAGGCACGAGCTCTACATGACCCAAAAAGGAGAAGTAAAGAAAATGGATGGATGTTCTGAGGGATCCCACTCTGAAGTGGGATTAAACTCCTGTACCACCCAGCTTCATCCTGAAACCACAGCCGTCCACTCCAAACCAGACTCTTCTCCTTCACACTGCTGCCTCTGTCAAGGAGCTGAAGTCTCACTCAGATTATAAGAACTTTTGTCAATCCACACGTTTATTTATACATTCGTCAGCTGGATTGTTGCTTCTTAGATGAGCACAATACCAAGCAAATTTTTAGTTTCTGTTCATGCTCCAGTTTTTACGTGGTGTGATCAAATATAAGAAGCTCCAAGTTTGTAAGACGTAGAAAACTGCTGCTTAGTGGTGTTTAAAAAAGAAAAAAAAAGAAATTATGAAATCAGAATAACTGTCTTTATTAACATTTTCACAATTGTGGCATATTATTGTTTAACGGTTCTGTAAATCCACTATTCTTAGGCTGTTACTAACAATTATTTTGTCCACAGTCGTGAAAGGTGGGTGATAATGTCGTGCCTGTAAGTGTGTGTTCGTCTGCCTGTTTGCAAAATAAAATCAGTCAAGCAATTTTTTTAAACATTTTTTGGAAGTATGAATTAAAAACATGTTTACCTGCAGGAACTGACTGAACTCTGAGAAACTCAGGTTCTTGTTTCTTCCGTGGCCAAAGTGCAGCCTGATGAACTCACAGTCCCAGTTGAAGGGGATGTGGTGATGCACTGCAGTTTGGCTGAAGATGTCACGAACATTTTCTAGGAAAAACAAAAGTAATAAAAAAGCTGTTACAAACAACAACAATATATATATATATATATATATATATATAATAAAGATGCAGCTGTAATGTACATCTTATATGACTTTTCATTTTATAGATAAAATAGATTATTGAAAATAGATTATTTAATAACAAAACTGGATGGCTTCATGGTCCCAAAATCTGATTTAAGATTCATGCTTTTAGTGGTTTTCTGCACATTTTCCATATATTTCACAATATATCAAAGTGTTGAGTTCATTCAGGAGACGGGTGCTATGACTTTTGGTTTATGTAACTTTTCAAAATATTTAACTTTACCTACAAATATTTTCCTTATAGAAGTACACTAAGATCTCCAATTTCTTGAACAACATCGTAAGAAAACATCAAAATATTGTTAAATTGGCTTTATGTTTCTGTTGTTTTGCTGCTTGTAGTTTTTAGCTACCACTCTGCTACTTTTAGCTTTCAGCGAGCTTATTGATACTTTTAGCTTTTAGCTAGCTTATTGATACTTTTAGCTAGCTTATTGATACTTTTCGTTCGCCTTTTGTTGCTTTCAGCAGTCATAGCTTTAGCCATAAGCTATCTTGGCTACTTCTAGTTTTAGCTAGCATTTTGCTTCATTTAAATTTTATCTAGTTTACTGATTATTTGAGATAACAACAAAGATTTAGTAACTTTCTACAGAACATTTCTAAAAAAGTCATTCAGAACTCAGCATTCACAGAAAATGCTATTTCTCTAGTCAAAGTTTGCAATTTGTCTGAGAGCCTTATTTTGATGTTATTTTTGTTTTTGACAAGCCCAGTGAATCCGTGTCGTGTTGTAATATGTTGATATATTTTGATGAAACGGCTTCCTGCTGTCCTGCTCTGAAATGAAGCCTAACTGCATATTTAAAAAATAACAATTAAGAAGCATTCATTCATCTTATTAATTGTATCAGTTTTTCCTATAATAGATGATAATTGATATAAAAAAGCAGCACAGGTGCTAAACAATATATTTTGTAGAGATTTACTGGTTCTCGGTCTTACACACCAAATGAGATGTTTCCTGTGCCAGTTTTATCAAACAGCTGAAAGGCCACGATGAAAAGGGCGTCAGGAGCACACAGAACGGACTCAAAGGCCAGAAACTCCTGGAAAGAGATCAATCTGTTTGGAAGAGAAAGAAAAGATGCTATTTGAACAAAAAGAACACGTTTGAAAGTTTTATTACCCTGCCAGCTGGAGTGAAGCAAGAAAAACTCACAAGTACTGCTGATAAAAAAATAAATAAAAAAGGCAAGCTCACATAGAAACTTAGTACTAATGTAACTTGTTTTAAATATGAAGTTTATTCTTGATTTTGGTAGGAGAAATTGATGAATATGTTTTACCTTCAGGTCCATTTAAAAGCTGTCTGTGCTGCTAAAACTGCTGCAGCAGCCCCCGATGATCATCGGTTTATATCTTGGAGAAATTTTCCACTGAGATTTAATTTTTTAATTTTTACAACATTCATTTTTGTAAGCTGATTTTAGGCCGGCTTGTTACTTGAACTGACCCTGCTTGGAGGGCTTTTTTTAAACATGTCTCATGATGGGTAACCATGACAATGGCATGTTTTCATGCAGCATCATGCAGACACGTTTAAGAACCACTGCAGTTCTTTTTGTTCATATTTTTATTGACAAAGTTCACTTGTGTTAACACAGTGATTTATTCACAGTTTGTTGATTTCAAACAGGCTTCTCCAATTCGTTCAACTTTCCATAACTTGTCAATATGTACTGTGTTGCCATTTTCCAACTGCTGTACTCCCCCTTCACACCTGCCTGTAACGCAGTGGATGACCGTATTTTTTTAAAAAGTATTCAAAAGCAGGCAAGATCTTAAATACAGAGCTGATGTGCAGAGGATCAGTCTTGCCCTACACAAGAATCAAAAAAAGATGATATCTGACTAAATGCAAGCTCGGACCGCACACATTTTCTTCATTTTTTTAAAAAGAAATTAGTTTTCCATATCCTGAAAAGCTGTTTTAGAAATTCAAGGTTTCTCAACAACAACAACTTGGTTCTTTTCTTTCTGTCAAAATTTTCTTTTTGCTACTATACAATTTTTCATGACTGGGTTTTCAGTTCAGTTTGTGACATGAATTGGAAATGTTGCACTCCTTGTTTTCAAAGCACCTGAAGGACAGAATATGGATATTATGAATGCTCAAAT